CACCACGTTGCGCGTGTCCGGTAAGTGGCGGGACTGGGGGGTGCGGGGCCCGGGGCACCCGACCTCGTCTCCGCCTCCCGCTCAGTTGCCGGCGGAGGAGACCGGTGTGGGTGAGAGTGGAAGTCAGGGGCACCCGCTAGGTGGCGCTGTCGATGGCGGGGCGGGGGATGGGAGGTGGAGGGTCCCCCCACTGCGGAGCTCAAGCAGAGGGACCCTAAGAGCTGCGACTACTTTGGGGAGGGACTTATTAGCATAGGGGGCGTCTGCGTGGGGGAGACTAGGCCTCTATGGGAAAGGGAGATGGGGAGGGGTGACCCCATCCTCCCCTCCAGTCCTGTCAATCCTGGGGCAGGGGTCTTCCTGGGGTGGAGGGAGACTAACCCAGACCCCCATCCTTTGGGGTTTGGAAGAGTGGAATGTCACTAGGATTTCTCGGGCTAGGGGAGGGTGTCTGTTGAGTCTGGGGTCTCCCAACCAGCGCTAGGAATGACCTTACTGGGGGGTCGTTGACCTGGCGCCTCCTGGTGGGGAGAGGACAGAGGTGGCTCTGGGTGGGGTGAGCCGCGAGCTCGTCCCCCCTCCGTGAGGGTCTCCACCCCGCAGGTCCGTGGCTGTGGGTCGCCGTGGGCGGCGCAGCCGGGGGCGCGGCGCTGCTGGCCGCGGGGGCCGGCCTGGCCCTCTACGTGCGGTCCACCGCCTGCAAGAAGGGCGAGTACAACGTGCAGGAGGCGGAGAGCTCGGGCGAGGCCGTCTGTCTCAACGGCGCTGGCGGCGGCGCCACCGGGGACAGCAGCGCGGAAGGTGGACCGGACGCGGGCTGGACGCTGGGGCCGCCGAGGCCCACCGCGGGGGGCGAGGTGTTCGCCATCCAGCTGACATCTGCGTGAGCCCGCTCTCCACTCCCCGCGGGCCGGGGGACGCCCCCCAAACGCACACGGTGGGGGGGGGCTTATTTATGGCTCTATTTATTTATTTATTCATTTATTTATTTATTCAACTCCAGGGGTGTTACCCCCATTTTCTACCCATTCCCCCTAATAAAGTTTTTATAGAGGACTCAAGGTCTCTGTGAGGTCGAAAGAGCCCAGCATTCAAATCCTCACTTTGCAGGTTATTCATTCAAAAATAAATAAATAAATAAAAGGGCTGGCACTGTGGTGTGGTTAAGGCAGCTGGATACCACATAGTTGACTAGGGGTTCGAATCCCAGACCTGGTGGCCTGAGAACTGCCAGGCATATATGCATGCATGGGAGTCTCTCTCTAGGGAGGGTATTCACCCTGTAAAAAACCAAAAACTAGCGGCTGGCAGATGGCATAGCAGTTACATCATTGGACTCCTCACGGCTGACACCGGTTCGAGTCCTAGACCCAGTGGTTTGAAAATCATGCCAGGCACATGTGTATTTGTGCCCAAGATCTTGGGAGGAGAAGGGATTGTGGTGTGGCCATCCCCCAGGGGGTGGTTTCTCACTTTCCTTCTCACTATCTCTGTCTCTCTCCATCAAGCACATGCACCCTAAGGCAAAAACCTTTCAAAAAACAAACCCTATAAAACCTGAGTGACGGGACCAGCAGATGGTGTAATGGTTACCTCACTGGACTCCCATGTAGTGTCCTGTGGTTTGAGTCCCGGACCCGGTGGCTTAAAACTCACATTGGGTACGTGTGGGTGCGTGCCCAAGGTCCCAAGAGGAGAATGGAGGAGAAGGGATGTGGCATGGCCACTGAGGGGGTGATCTCTCAGTTCCTGTCTCTGGGGAGCACACATGCCCTATAGCCAAAAAAAAAAAAAAAAAAAAAACCAACTTAAAAATGAAAATAAATTAAAAAATAAAAACCCTGAGTGACTGAACGCCTACTATGTGTTAGGCAGGGTCCCAGTGGTCTTTTCGTGGTGGGACCTGGAGTTTATCCTCCCCACTGTGATTCCTGCTCTCATCAGACCCTTGGGCAGGGGTGGGGACCTGGCTCCTTCCTCCTCCTCCCGGCTTATCTCTTCCGCCCAGCAGGCTGCCCTCTGATCCTTGGAAGTGGAGCGAGGTGCTTCCCCCAGGCCTGGTTACCGGCACAGCCAAGGCTGCCAAGCTGGGATGGGTGGAGCCCCCTTGCTGGGGGGTCTTATCATTAGCCCTTGGCCTGACACCTCATCACAATGGATTAAAAAGTGGGTGATGACTACAACCCTCTGTCAGCCCTTCTGACTGATAGGGGGAGACAGCAGGTGGCATGGTGCTTAACGCGCTGGACTCCCACATAATTAAACCTGGTTCGAGTCCTGGACTCGCTGGCTTGAAAGTTATAACAGATAAATAAATAAATGTATTTTTAAAAGAGAGAGGGGGTCAGCAGGTGGTGTAACAGCTATGTTGCTAGACTCCCAAGTAGTCGACCGCAGTTCAAGTCCCAAATGGGTAGCTTAAACTCACACCGGGCGCGTGTGCGTGCCTGCCCAAGATCCTGAGAGGAGAATGGAGGAGAAGGGATTGTGGTGTGGCCATCTCCCCTGGGGGGTGATTTCTCGCTTTCTGTCTGTTTCTTCCTGGCAAGCGCACGCACCCTATTGTAAAAACCTCTCCAAAAAAATAAATAAATAAAATTGAAAAAAACAAAAAAAGAGAGGGACCAGCAGGTGGCATGGTAGTTAAGGCGCAGGATACTCCCACATGGCTGACCACGGTTTGAGTCCTGGACCTAGTGGCTTGCTTTCTCACTTTCTCTCTCTCACTCTATCTCTATTTCTCTGTATGTCCCTTTCTGGTCAAATTAAAGATAAAATGAATCAACCAATAAATAATTCTTACAGAAGAAAGGGAGAGAGAGAGAGAGAGGAATTGTGGTTAAGCCTCCATTTAGGGTGATGGTCTCTCATAGAAGAAATCTTTCTTGTTAAGGAGAGAGATTTTTGCTATAGGGCGTGGGTGCTCATTGGAGAGACAGAGAAAGTGAGAAGTCACAGGGGAAGGTCACCCTGCAATTCCTTCTCCATTCTCCTGTTGGGACTTCGGGCACATATGCGTATGCCCTCAGTGTGAGTTTCAAGCCACCACGTCTGGGACTTGAGCCACAGTTAGCCGTGTGGGAGTCCAGTGCCTCAACCATTGAGCTACTTGCTGGTCCTGGAAGAAATCATCTTTTTAAAAGTTCATCCAGGGGCCGGCAGGTGGTGCAGTGATTAAAGGTGTTGGATTCCCACATGGCCAACCAACCGCGGTTCGAGTCCTGGACCTGGCGGCTTGCTTTTCCACTTTCCCTTTCTCTTACCAGTCCAAAAAAAGAATTAAATAAATAATAATTATTTATATATTTTTAAAAAGGGGTCAGTAAGGGCCAGCAGGTGGTGTGATGGTTAAAGGTGCTGGATTCCCACATGGCTAACCGTGGTTCGAGTCCCAGACCTGATGGCTTGCTTTCTCACTTTCCCTGTCTCTCTCTTTCTCTCTCTGGTCAAATTCTTTAAAAAAATAATAAATGGAATAAATTAAATAAATAAATCTTTAAAAAATGGGGGGGGCAGCAGGTGGTTGGGAGCTCTGGACGCCCACATGGCCAACTGCGGTTTGAGTCCCACACCTGGCAGCTTGCTTTCTCGCTTTCTCTCTCTCTCTGTCTCTCTCTCTCACTCTGTCCCTATATGGTCAATTAAAGTGGATAAACAAATAAAGGAAATAAAGTGGGTAAATAAAGTTAAAAGGAAAAAAATAAATTCATCCAAGGCGGCTGGTCTTGTGGTTCCATGAGCAGGTCCCACCCACATGACCTAGTAGGTAGTTCGAGTCTTGGACTCGGTAGCTTGAAACACACAGCAGGCGCAAGTACACACGAGCCCCGGGTCTCGACAGGAGGGAGAAAAGGAGAGGGGGACTGTGGTGTGACCACGCCACACTGTGGGGGACTTGGTCCCTCTGTGTCTCTCTGCAGGTACACGCCCCATCTTGCAATTAAATAAAAAGTCCATCCCTCCAGTCAAGGGGTGTACCTGGGACAGCCTCCGTGAGCTTGGGTCTGTGTCGCCCGTGCTGCCTTAAAAAAACAAATTTGCAGGGCCAGCAGATGGCGTAATGGCTACATTGCCGGACTCCCATGTAGTTGACTGTGGTTTGAGTCCCGGACCTGGCTGCTTCAAACTCACACCGGGATCCTGTTGCCATAACCCCCAAGCCTCTGGCAGCCCTTCCCCCCAATCCGCCTTTCAACCGGGCCCACCATGATCAGAACAGACGTATACAGGGTACCGGCTGTCACGCTCACCGCACAGCACCGCTCCCCTCACCCCTACAGCAGAAGGAAGGAACAGCTGGGCCTCCTCCCTCCAGCCTCCCCCTCTCCCCTTCCTCTCCCAAAGGCAGGAACACAGAGGCCTAGCGGAGGAACCAGCCTGGATGTGCTGCCCCCCTGCAAAGAGAACAGAAAACGCAGAAGGGGCAGGCCTGGGCTGGGGCAGGCCTGGGCTGGGGCGGGCCAGCAGGTACCAGAACCACCAGGCCCAACGAGGTGCAGGCCCTGCCATCACCTGCAGTCTGGGTGTCTCCCAGCATTCCTGTGTCGGGACTTAACTGGGCTGTATCTTATTTTATTCCTTCATTCCTTCACGTTTAGGTTTTGGCCATAGGGCGCATGTGCTTACTAGAGACAGAGAGAGGGAAAGTGAGAAGTCACCTCCTCAAGGAAGACCGCCACACTGCTCTCCCTTCCCCATTCTCCTGCTAGGATTCTGGGCACGCACGTGTGTGCCCGCTGTGATTTTCGAGCCACCCACCACGTCCGGAACTCCAACAGTGGTTGGCCATGTGGGGTCCAGCCGCCTTAACCACCGCGCCCCCTACTGGCCCCACTTGGTTGTATTTTAAAAGGGATAACCTGGGACCAGCAGTTGGCATAATGGCTATGTCGCTGGACTCCCATGTAGTCAACTGCGGTTTGAGACCCGGGCACATGTGCTCACCAGAAAGACAGAGACAGAGAGACAGAAAGCGAGAAATCACCCCCGGGGGGGATGGCTACACCGCAATCCCTTCTCCTCCATTCCCCTCTCAGAATTTTGTGTACACACACACACCTGGCGTGATTTTCTTTTTCCTTTCTTTCTTTCTCTCTTTCTGCCTCTCTCTTTCTTTCTTTGAAGTTGACCAGAGAGAAACAGAGAGAGAGTGGGTGAGAAAATAAGCCACCAAGTCCAGGACTTGAACCGTGGTCAGTCAAGTGGGAGTATCCAGCACCCTAACCACCACACTGCCACCTGATCCCCCTCATTTTTAAAAACAATGATTTATTTAGGGGCCAGCTGGTGGCGTGGTGGTTAAGGGCGCTGGACTCCCACATGGCCTACCACGGTTTGAGTCCCCGATCTGTTGGCTTGCTTTTAGCTTTCTCTCTTTCTCTGGTCAGATTAAAATAAGTGAATAAATAAATAAAAATTAAATAATTCTTTTAAAAATTTATGTATTTGGGACCAGCAGGTAGTGTGGTGGTTAAGATGCTGGACACTCCCACGTGGCCGACCATGGTTGGAGTCCCGGACCTGGTGGCTTGCTTTCTCACTTTCCCTCTTTCTCTGTGTGTGCCTATTGCTCTCTGTCTCTCTCTGGTCAAATCAAATCAAATCGATCAATCAATCGATCAATATTTTTAGATTTTATTTATTTATTGTTATGATTCCACTTGACAAGAGAGAGAGGGAGAGAGAGAAGGCAAGCCTCCAGGCCCGGGACTCTAGCCACCGTCAGCCATGTGAGAGCCCACTGCTTTAACCACCACGCCACCTGCTGGCTCCTCTATTTTCTGAATAAACCATCCAGTCTTAGGTTATTTGTGTTATCAACACAACGCCTCCTTCCATCTGCTTGTTCCCCCCTTAATCGTCTCCTCTTCCTCCCCATTGGCCTCTTTTTCCCCTTTTTTCTTGAGAGATTTTTGCTATAAGGTGTGTGCACTTGCCAGAGACAGAGAGAGACAGAGAGACACAAAGCAAGAAATCACCCCCAGCAGGGATGGCCACACCGCAATCCCTTCTCTCTTCTCTTGTGATCTCGGGCACACACACGCACATGTGCCCAGCATGAGTTTTAAGTCCCCCGGTCCGGGACTCGGACTGCAGTCAACTCTGTGGGAGTCCAGTGACATAACCATTAAGCCATCTTCTGGCCCGCCAGCTGGCCTATTTGAAACTGCTCTGAGCTCACAGTCCTGTCTGCCGCAGGGCCTCCTCCCTTGCTGTTTCTTCTGCCCGGCGTGCCCTAACCTCCCATAACTACCATTTCGTCCCATGCACCCACCACCGTCTCTGAGAGGCCCATCCTGAGACCCTCGGCTAAAAAAGGGCCCAAGTCCTTCCTTTCTTTTTTTTTATTTTTCTTTTTTTACTTTTTGGAGAGATTTTCGCTATAGGGCGCGTGCGCTCGCCAGACAGAGAGAGACATAGAGACAGAAAGTGAGAAATCATCCCCCAGGGGGGATGGTCACGCCTCAATCCCTTCTCCTCCATTCTCCTCTCGGGATCTTGGGCATGCACGCACATGCGCCCGGCGTGAGTTTTAAGCCACTGGGTCCGGGACGCGAACCGCAGTTGACTACGTGGGAGTCCAGCGACATAGCCATTACGCTAACTGCTGGTTCCCTCTTTTTTTTATTTTTGAGAGGTTTTTGCTATAGGGCACATGCACTCTCCAGAAAGACTGGGCCACCCAGAATTTTTTTTTTTTAAAGAAGTATTTTATTTAACTCTCCAGGTGTGTGCACCCATTAGGGAGAGAGAGAGAGAGAGAGACAGAGACAGAAAGTGAGAAATCACCCCCTAGGGGGGATGGCCATGCCACAATCCCTTCTCCTCCATTCTCCTCTCAGGGTCTTGGGCACACACGCACACGTGCTTGGTGTGAGTTTAAACCACCGGGTCTGGGACTCGAACCGCGGTCGACTCCATGGGAGTCCAGCGACATAGCCATTACGCCAACTGCTGGTCCCCATTCTTGCTGTTTCTCCTGCCCGGCGTGTCCTCATCTCAAACAGTCCCACAGCTAGCGTCTTATCCGGAGGTCCCCATACAAACGTCACTTCTGCCAGGCCCTCTGAGACCCACGGCTAAGACAGCCCCAAGCTGTGTTGGTGTTCGCGTGTGTGCGCACACGTGTGTACACACGTACACGTGCCCTTCACACCCCAGTGAGAAAACACCTGCTCGCCTTTGCGGGGGGACACAAGGTGGAGCCCAGATCACACTACTTTGTCCTGAGAATCTCTGCTTTATTGTCACGGCGGGTAACACTTTATAGGGCGGTGCCAGCCACACCTGATGGGAGAAGGGGGCCCCCTGACACAGCACTTCTGGGGCCTGAGGTCGGGGTGTCCACCTCACTGGGGAGAGAGGAAGCCGAGCGAGGCCCTTCCGCACTCCTACCTCGGCGAGCGAGCCAGCATCCTCCCCTTCTCTCCCTGCAGAATTAGCGTGGGGGTGAGGAAGGAGTTATCCCTCCTGAGTGGGGCCTTGGTGGGGGTCCAAGGCCTCCCCGCATCGACCACAGAGCCTCTTGGGCTGGACGCTTTTCCTGGGCACCAGCCAGCAACTGGAGCAGCGGGTGCCGTATTTCTTGTACCTGGTTTGGGAGCACAAGAAACCGCCCTTTAGAACGCAGCAGGGGCTCAGAAACCGCCGTCAGGAAACTGCGTTCCCTACCAGGCAGGTGTGCGTCTTTTCCAATACCCCGGTACTAGCTAAAAGTGGACCGACGTGGGGGCCTCCCACCCCAACTCCCGCCTCCGCTCCGAGGACCTGATTCCACAGGCATTGCAGAGTGGGGTCCCATCCTCGGCGTCTCTCCAGAGTGGTGTCCTCTGCGTCCGACAGGAAGCACAGCACCGGGGCCCTGAAAGGTTGGCAGTCAAAGGGCAGGGGTCAGAGGCCAATGGTCTGAGCACAAGAGGCCCCTGTGGACATTGGATGGGGCATTTTTTTGGGGGGGGTCTCTGCCAAGGCCCCGCCTGGCTCAGTGCCAGCTCTGGGTGTTGCCAGATTTAAGTTAGAAGGAAAGCCAGGAAGGGAGACAGATGGTGTTGGCAGAAAAGGAAGCTGGGGGTGGGGGTGACTCAGCTCTGGGGGGGCACTGCGCCTTCTCCTAGAGGGGTCTAAATGGGGAAGCGCCATGTAAAAGGGGGCAGGGAGAGAGGGGGCTGGGGGCAGGGAGTTGGCCCTTCCAAACATTTCTAGCTCTCAAGGCTTCAAGACTCACCCAGGGCCTCGCTGCCTCCAGGGGTGGCCTCAGGTTCCCGGCTGGGGCCTGCTGGTGGTTCTGGTTCCGGCTCCGGCTCTGGTTCTGGTTCTGGGGGGTGGCTGCTGCAGGCCAGGCTGGGAGGGGGCAGACAAGGTGGCAGCTTTAGGGAGATCTGTATCCTGCCTGGGTTACCCCCAAAATGGAGATTTACCAGGGCTGGCAAGTGGCGTGGTGGTTAAGGGCACTGGACTCCCACGTGGCTGACCACGGTTCGAGTCTCAGACCCGGTGGCTTGCTTTCTCACTTTCCTTCTCTCTCTGGCCAAATTAAAAGGGATAAATAAATAAATAAAGTGGAATAAAATAATCCCACTAAGGCGCTGGACACTTCCACATGGCCAACCGTGGTTCGAGGCTTAGAACTGGCGGCTTGCTTTCTCACTTTCTCTCTCACTCTGTCCCTCTCTGGTCAAATTAAAAATAAAGTTAAATAAATAATTATTTTTTAAAAAAATGGAGATGTACCACTGTGAACAGGCATCTCATGTCTGGAAAACCTGGCTTTCTGAAGGCCTCTCATTAGGAAGGATGATCATTCTTTTTCTTCTTTTTTTCTCTTTTTTTAGATATTTGCCTTAGGGTGTGTGTACTTGCCAGACAGAGACAGAGAGAGACAGATAGTGAGGGAAAGTGAGAAATCACCCTTGTGGTGGGGAGAGCCATAATCCCTTCTCCTTCATTTTCCTCTCAAGATTGTGGCTATGTCGCTGGACTCTCACGTAATCGACCGCGGTTCGCGTCCCGGACCCGGTGGCTTAAAACTCACACCGGGCGCGTGTGCGTGCGTGCCCAAGATCCCGAGAGGAGAATGGAGGAGAAGGGATTGCGGCGTGGCCATCCCCCCTGGGAGGTGATATCTCACTTTCTGTCTCTCTGGCAAGCACATGTGCCCTATAGCAAAAACCTCTCCAATACAAGAAAAAAAAGAAACCGCTAACCTGCAAGCCAGTCTTCCAGGTTCCGATCTGGGCTCTTCCACATCCTTGCTGTGTGACCCTGGACAAGCTATGGCCCCCCTCTGCGCCTCAGTTTCCCCATCTGTCCAATGGGCTGCGTGAAGCTTCAGTGGGCCCATATACCTTGTTACCGGGAAAAACACAGGAGCTGTAGCCCTCGGGAGGGAGACCAAGTGTCGGACGGGGAGGTGACTTAGTGGAGTGGAGGGATGTGGTACCAGCCTGGAGTCTTGAGCAGAGACTGAGCCACCCGCAATTTTTTTTTTTTTAATAACTATTTTATTTTTAACTTTATTTTCATTTGACCAGAGAGGGACAGAGCAAGAGTGAGAGAGAGAGGGAAAGTGAGAAAGCAAGCCACCAGCTCTGGGATTCAAACTGAGGTTGGCCATGTGGGAGTCCAGTGCTCTTAACCATCATGCCACCTGCTGGCCCCCAATTTTTTTTTTTATTTTTTAAGAGATTTTTGCTATAGGGGACATGCGCTTGCCAGAGAGAGGGAAAGTGAGAGACAGAGAGACAGAAAGCGAGAAATCACCCCCGGGTCCGGGGGGATGACAACGCAGTCCCTTCTCCTCCTTTCTCCTCTCGGGATCTTGAGCACACACGCACACCAGCTTGAGTTTTAAGCACCTGGGCTCGGGACTTGAACTATGGTCGAACATGCGGGAGTCCAGCAATGTAACCACTGAGCCATCTGCTTGCCCCTGGGCCACCTGTAATTTAGGGCTGGTGTGAGGGCCCCTGAACGGTTGTCTGGAAGGACCATCCTGAGAACTGCCACACCCCACCACTGGTGTTGTCATAATTATTTGTATAAAGAGCACCCAAGGCCGGCTCCATGACTGGGATTAAAGCAGCTGGATCGCTCATGGCTAACCGAGTGGTTCAAATCCCAAACCCTGCAGCGTGAGAAACCGCCTGGAGGTGCAAGCTTGTGGGTGCCCCAAATCCCAACAGGACAGAGCAATGGCGAAGGGAACTGTGGCGTGACCACGCCCCAGGGGGGTGATTTCTCCCTCTCCCTGGCAAGTGAACGTGCTCTCTAACAAAAAATTAAAAAAGTAAAAATGGAAACTAGGCACTTTTTTGCCCCGGTCAGCCCCTACCTGTAGGTGGGTGTGATCCGTAGGCTGGAATCTGGTTTTATCTCAAACTTCAGAGTCACCCCCTGGAACCCGGGGTCTCCTTTCTCGGTGCTCCGGCGGGGCTTCAGTTGTTTCCGGGGTCTTCTCTTAGGTGGGGCCGCTGGTGCCCTGGGGGACTCTAGGCCGCAGCATTTTTGGCTGATTGGAGTCTGTACGGTCTTAGTGTTTCCGGCCAGAAGCAGGGGACCCGGGGTCCCTGGGGCCATGGGCTCACAGCAGGGCCCCTGGGGGTCCCAGGCCAGGGGCTGAGCCAGCCTCTCTGCAGACTCTTGGAGGAAGCGCAGGGTGGTGACAGAATCCTGGCACGCAGGCCAGGGGGACCTGGCGGACAAGGGGCGGTGTGGTCAAGCCCTTCCCCAGGACCTGACCGGGTGCGAGCGCCCAGAGCCCCAGAGCGAGCGGTGTGCCCTCGGGCAGGGTCACACTGTGAGGCGGTCGCTGTGAGGTTGAAATGTTGCCAAGTGATTGGAACAGTGTGAACCTACTGTGTGCACGCCAGGCCTCCTCTCAGCCCTTGCACACTGATTATCCATGTAATCCACCCAGGAGCGCAGGAGCAGGTGATCCTGGGATGAATCAGGATTTTAGCCCCGGCTGCTGGATGGGCTATTATTATTATTATGGTTGCTGTTGTTGTTGTAATCTTTACTAATATGTTAGCTTCCACAACCCCCACGTGACCAGGGCGGGGTGTGTGGGGTTCTCTATGTGTGGGGTTCTCTATAATGGCATCGCAGAGACTTGGGGGGGGGGGCATGGCCTCTGACCGCTAGATGACTCCGAGGGTCCTCGGGGACCTGAACTTGGTCTTTGAAAGTACCAGTAACTGACATGACGACCCCTAGATCACCCCAAGGACCAGCGGGCTTGGCGCCTTGCCCACCAGGCCAAGTGTCAGAGGGGCTGGGGGAGGCGCTGCGCCCTACCCACCTGCCGCCGGGCTGGAGGCATTGCGGGGTCCGAGGCTCGGGCTGGTTGGCGGCTCCTGGGGGCGGCTCAGGGTTCAGACAGGGCGGCGCCAGTAGCTCTCGCAGCAGGGGGAAATCCGGGGCCCTTTTAGCCTCCATCGCGCCCCTGCCCGGCTCCCCCTCC